CAGTGTAATGAAAAAAGCTAAATAATATCAGTTATCCAAAATGTCTGAGTACTAGAGTAAAACTCTCAATTATTTTTAAAATGTATTTATTTATTTGAAAGGCGGATTATACAGAGGAAGAAGAGGAGGGGGGAAGAGGGAGAGAAAGCAAGTGAGAGAGAGAGGGATCTTCCATCTGCTGGTTCACTCCCCACACGGCTGAAAAAGCCAAGGAGCTTCATCCACATCTCCCACATGGGTGCAGCATCTCAAGCACTTGGGCCATCCGCCTCTGCTCTCTCAGGCTCATTAGCAGAGAGCTGGCTCAGAAGTAGAATAGCGGGAACGCGAATGCAGCCCTTATGGGATAGCAGTGCTGCGGGTTGCAGCTTAAGCTTCTGTGTCACTGCACTGGCCCCTAGAATTCGAAATTTTGCAAGAAATGTTTTGTCATGTAAGTTTAAAAAGATAACATATAAACATTACACACTGTAAAATTTTAGTTATACAACAATAAAATTACCAAAATAAAATGTATGTTGAAATTATATGCAACATAGTTTCTTCAACAAGAAATTCAGGAAAAGACATTAAGTTTTAAGCATAGGTGTTTTTTAAAACTATTAAAATATGATTCAAATAAGCAGTTCTTAAATTGACCTTCTAGAAAGGCAAAGAATATAACATCAAATCAAATTTCAGGTAGTGCATTTCTACAAAGGATAAGAATTATAATGTACAGCCAGACACTTTGCTCTCTAATCATCTTACTTAATTCAGTGATAGAACTTGGAAATACTAGATAGACAGCTAAAATGCCCATTACCTGTCTCAATCAAATATCAGGTGCCTTAAATGAATCTTCAGTAGGTGTTGAACCAAGGCCAAGAGATAAATGAATTTTCTTTCAGATGTACGTAATGCCTTTTTGTAGCACAGAGAGAGAGATGTCCTTTAGAATGTCAGATATGTAAAGGGATGACTTTGGTCTTTTAATGTAACTATTTGAATGGACGCACATTGAGCATTATTACAAAGTCACTGTTAAGTCCAAACATGAATTATAACTTGCCAAGGAATCACATACTCTCCAAAAATGTTTGTTCATAAATTATTTTAATATTTTAGAACATTAACAAAAACTTTCACATATCAACATTTTAACTAATAGCATCTCTGTTTTACAAACACTAATAATTTTTCACAAGTCAAAAATAGTCCATATCTGAGAGATAAAAAGAAGACATGTTTATTTTCAAAGGAAGAAAAGCACAACCTTCAAATTCACTTTTCAATACTGTGAAAGCACAATAATTTGTCTCATACAAAGGAAGAAATTGCTTTGTGCTATTTATGGCATATCTTGTTGTGACTTTCTAATGAAGATAATTAAGCTTTTAACCAGTAACAAAAAAATAAATGATGTGTTAATATATTGTAAATTTCTCTTTAAAAAAAAAAACAAATTAAAGGATTTGAATTGGGTGATTTCACCATAAGCAAATGTAAAATGTTTGAACAGATGAATTTATGTAAACCTACAGGCATTACACTATGTATACATATACCAAAAAATCACAATGTACTCCAATAATATGTATAATTCTTAAATATTTAAAAGATAAAAATAAAGAAAGATTCCCTTTTCTTTACTTAACTAAATATAAATTGAAACATACCTATTTGCTTTATGAAAATACTAGAATAAAATGTTTCTGTCCCAGGGCTACTGTGGATTCCTTTTACATGAAATGCTATGAAATTTTTATCCCATTTGCTCTGCTATAATATAATAATACAAGGTGAAATCTCGAGTTCAAACAAGACTTTAGTAAAAAGCAATGTTTCCCACAAACAGCATAGAGTCTGTTGGAGACATAATTATTTATGTATGCAATCAAGAGCTATTTAGATATAAGTTAATATTTGACCAATAAATTAAAGGATAGAGGGTTGCATCTTGCCATGTAAATATCAAAGGTACAAAGGGTAAAGCATTTGAGATGGGTCTGTGAACAGGGGAGATGGAAGGCACAGGAAATATGGGGCAGTATAAGTAGTTACAAACAAAGTTAGAAATGCAGCTGGAATAGTTTTTGTTAAAGGGACATGGGGAATAACAGAATGTCAATGATTTTGCAAAGTCAAGGAATCTTTTGCAGTCACATTCAACCTAAAAGTGTGATTGCTCTCTGGAATTCCAGAGGACCCTGCCAGTACATTTCAATCTCAGCCACAATACCTTGAGCAGGTGTAGCAGAGAACAGAGAGACTGACATAAATACAGTTACTGAAATGGAAAATGATAATATTGAACAAGATGACAGATTTCTCCGTATGTAGTAAATAAATTTTCAGCAGCTAATCAAAGACTGCAGCAATGAGCATGGAGCATGGGAAATTACTAATATCATTCATGGAAAGAACAGATTATGCTGGGTGAAGGGGAATTGATTTCAGATCCTTTTGAGATACTTATTAAATGGCCATACGTTGTAGTAAGGTTATTTGATTCTTAGATTCCAGAGAAAAGGTGAGCTAGCTGAGGAAGGCATGTTCAAAGATCCTCAGGTTGTATGTGTGTTGAGAGTTCCTTAGACCAGAGTATGGCAAGAAAACAGAGACCAGGACAGAATACTGGGGAACTCCATGGCAAGAAGTAGGCAGACAGGGAAAACCGCGAAAACCAGGCACAGTGGGTGCCATGAGACCTGAGAGAAGTCAATGCTTAAAAAATGGAGTCTAGTTTAATAGGGTGAATCCATGAATATGGGTGCAGTAAAAGAAGGACCAAAGAACAGCCACTTAGCTGTGGAAAGGTAGTTAGCTTGTATAAAAAATGATTATTGGGCTTTGGGTTTTACTTATTCTGGTTTTAGCTTCTATGAAATATTGAATATTTTGTGATTTTCTTTAATTAATTAAATAGGTTTGTCAACTGAACGCCTTACAAATAGCAAAGGAAATGCCTTCTTTAAAACCACTTTTTCTTATTTTAGCAATATGCAGGAGTTGGAGAACATATTGTGGCCTAAAAATGTTTATCTTAGTTGTTTGTTTTTAAGACCATTTTTGTGTAAAAAAAAGAAAGTAAAAAAAGTACAACTGATTCAATACTATTATTTTAAGTATATTCACAAATAAAATAAACAAAAACAATCATGTTATCCTACAAATCAGCTTAATATTTTAAAACTAGTTTTGAAATAGCCTTTGGATATGAATAAAGAGAGCACATTGAGACTGGCATTATCGTACAGCGGTTTAAGTCGCTAATGCGATGTCAGCATCAATATGGACACCTGTTTGAGTCCCAGCTGCTGCACTTCTGATCTGGCAGCTGCAGATGGACAAAGTATTTAAGCCCCTTCAACCTATGTGGGAGACCCAGATGAAGTTCCAGGCCTCCAGCTTCAACCAGGCTAAGTCCTTGCTGTTGTGGCTATATAGGGTAAACCAACAAAAGAAAGATTGCTGTCTCTTCCTCTGTCTACTTGCCTTTCAAATAAATGAATAAATCCTTTTTTTTTAAAAAAAAGGAGAATAAATTGATAATACTTAAACTTGGGTCTTTATTGATACAAATTGCATGTATTGAAATTGAAATTCATGCATGCATGAAATTAAAATTTATTTGAATTTTATTCCCATAGAATTTGCTGGCCATTTTATTCTTATGTATTTTTGCATGGCATGCAAGTATTTCATTAAGGCACCAAAACCTCAAAATCTGAAGATAATCAATACAATAATAGTAAAATGTTTGTTTTGAGTTACTTATTAAACACTAAATTGTTATGTTTCCTCATTTTACAAAGTAAAATCAAACAGATAAAGTGTCTTTGTTTTAATATGGCTGCCATAAAAGTGTTTAAATAAGTTAAGAAAACAATTTTAGTTATGATAATTATGTTAAACAGTAGTTGCTATTAGAAATATAATCTCTTTAAGATTTTATTATATTTATTTGAAAGACAGAGTTACAGAGAGATGTCTTCCATCCACTGGTTCACTCCCCAAATGGCCTCAATGGCCAGAGCTGAGCTGATCCAAAGCCTCTTCCGGGTTTCCCACATAGGTGCAGGGGCCCAAGGACTTGGGCCATCTTCCACTGCTTTCCCAGGCCACAGCAGAGAACTGGATGGGAAGTGGAGCAGTTGGGACTTGAACCGCTGCCCTTACGGGATTCCAGCACTGCAGGCCAGGGCTTTAATCCACTGCGCCACAGCACCAGCCCCAGAAATATAAACTATTGGGTGATAAGCAATTCTGTGATCTGAGCCAACATTTCTGGAGTGATAATTATCTTCACATTGTTTCCGTTGACTCACAAAGAACAACTTATATGGTGATGCTTATGTCTAATACTTTATGTATGATAATTATTGTGCAAATTACGCTTTTATGCAATTCCACTGTCCTCTTTCAAAAATGAAAACTGAGACTTTTCCCAACTTGCTTTATTTGTCATACATCTTTATATACTTCTTCGAAAGGCAGAATATGTAGTCAAAGTTCCTGAGGAATGTAATTTTCATTGGTAGGTTAGAGACAGTGAAACAGCAAGATTGCTCCCTCATAATCACAAGTAATGTAATTGGAAGCCAACAAAACTCTTCCATTTAAAACATGCAGGTTTTTAAAATGCAAAGATCACCTGATTTCATCCGTACACATTATACACATACATTGAAATGTCACATTGGACCCTGTAAATGTGTATAAGTATTGTTAATAAGAAAGAATTTTAAATATGTAAAAAGACAAAGATCAGATTAAATTAAAAATATGGCTAAGATATGCTTACAGGTTTTTACTACATGTCAACATTTCTGTAAGCCAGTGGGCCGATAAAATGGATAAGCTGAAAGCAGTAAATCAAAAATACAGAAATATTACTGTTGGGAAAAATTAAGTGTGAATGAGTTTATTTTCATTCATAAATGTATAATAAACATCATATGTTTGGTCATCATTTTGCACTAACAAGCATATTTTTTTTCTTGAACTGATGCAAACAGAGCCCAGATGGCCGTATTGAAGTCAAAGGCCACCATGGAAGCTCATCACTGCATATGAAAGAGGTGAAGTTGTCCGACTCAGGCAGATATGACTGTGAAGCTGCAAGTAGAATTGGAGGGCACCAAAAAAGCATGTACCTTGACATTGAATGTAAGTGATTTTTAATTTGTATCTTTATTGAAGCACTTGTATCTCTTTAAAGAGCAGTAATTTTATATGAATATTAAGGTACGTATTTAGTTCATGTTTTTGGTATTTCATGTGTAGCTTTCAAAGGATTGTTAACTATTAAAAATCAGTTATTAGAGACATCTAGTGGATGATATGGGACATTTCATAATTTGGTATATTAAAGTGTCTTATATTTTTTTTCATGAAAATGGTGAGTTTCTTTATTTGCAACATTTAACCCTAACACAGTATTGGCTATACTACATTAGTTGCAGTTACTGGTCAACATCTTCTAGATTTTTGTCTATTTTTTAAAATAATGGCTATTTATTATTTTTAAATAAAATATGTGGCATGTTTTCATTTACTACTCAATTTGTTTTGTTGAATAGTTTTTCATCCTCTTAAGATATGAAATAATATTATGAATATAGTAAAATGTATCAGTAGTAACTTTTGTCATACTTGTGCTTGCTGTCTGGAAAAGACATCCAGTATAAAAAGAGTTGCTAAAATAAAAAAAAAAATAACTATTTGAGATAACTAAGTGAGATGGCTAATGTAAATTAAGCCTTCACAATTTTCCTTAACCTATTGCCTGGAAATTTAAAATAATTTAGTATGAATGTTATTTAAAAATGATGTAATTTAACATCATTCTCAGTAAACATTAGTGAATCACTAAGCTGGAGACGCTGATGCTTGAAAAGATGTATCTCTTTTAACCAGTATATATGGGATAGTTTTATTGATAAAACATTTCTGTTAGAGAATTTCTCATGCAGTAATGTTGATAGAATGCAAGGAACCATGAAACAAAATGCATTTTCTCTTGCTAGTGCCTTTAGCAAGAAATATTTTTTTAAGAATTAACACAAGTAAACAATATTAATTTACATATTTGTAGGTTATGTTTTTTGAGAAATTCATGGAAATGACAATTGAAAAAGCTGAGAAAAGGTAGTCAACAATGGAAGGCATTTTGCTTCTATCACAAATTGCTGACTTTACTTGCTATTGGGCAACTTCCCAGAAAGTCATATTTAGCGGCGCCGCGGCCTCACTAGCTAATCTCCGCTAGCGCGCGCACACGGGTTCTAGTCCGGTCGGGCGCCGGATTCTGTCCCGGTTGCCCCTCTTCCAGGCCAGCCCTCTGCTGTGGCCAGGGAGTGCAGTGGAGGATGGCCCAGGTGCTTGGGCCCTGCACCCCATGGGAGACCAGGAAAAGCACCTGGCTCCTGGCTCCTGCCATCGGATCAGTGCGGTGCGCCGGCCGCGGCGGCCATTGGAGGGTGAACCAACGGCAAAGGAAGACCTTTCTCTCTGTCTCTCTCTCTCACTGTCCACTCTGCCTGTCAAAAAAAAAAAAAAAAAAAAAAAAAAGAAAGTCATATTTTAAATGACTTTAAACTTAAATTTATATATGTAAACCAAATTTTGTTATTTTCCTTCATTTAATATGAATGTAAGTGAAGAAACACGTAAGGGAGACATGACATGATTTCTATCAGAAAGCACCCAATTATTTTGGTGGACAAGCCCTTAGAGTATTTCCGGCTTTTTTACACTGTTCAAAAAAAGGATACTAGACAATATATTCTCTTATGAAGCAATATTAGGGTTTTTGTCTTTACATTTTGTAAAAATACTTTTAAATTTATTAGACATATCATAGGGTTTTATTGAATTTCTTTTTTACTGTTTTTAAAGGAAGTTTAATATATATATATATATATATTCATTAAGCTATGATATTGCAACTATGAAGATGAACAGAAAAGTTTAAAGGTTTTCATAGGGCTGAAGAAGAGTATGCAAGGAAGAACAAACATGAAAGAAAGCCTGCTTCTAGGGACTGTGGCTCAGGCCTTGCTGCAGAGATGTGATTGCATCCCCCTGGATGGTGGAGATTTCACTAAAATGTCTGTGCTGCAGTGTTACTGAATTCTTATTGCCAGACAGAGAAGTGGTGGTAGGGCAGTTGCTGTGGCCCTGTCAGTTACACTGCATGCATCGATGTGTCTGGTTTGAGTCTTAGAAACACTGGTGCTGATCCAGTTTCCTGCTAACGCATATACTGGGAGGCAGCAGGTGATGGCTCAAGCACTTGTGTTGCTGCCACCCCCAAGAGAAACTGAGATGGAGCATTAGGCTTCCAATTTCTGCCTTGCCTAGCTCCAGCTGTTGCAGCCATTTGGTGTGTGAATATCTCGTTACTTTTCTGTTGCTATGTCTTTTAAATAAATAAAAATACATAAATGACAATTTTTGGAAAAGCAGAGAAAATAAACTTCATGAGAAATGAGCACTGTTATTATTTTCGAGAAACAGTAAGGTAAAGTGACTCATATGTGAATGCTTTTACTAGAATGGTACTAGCTGGTCTTGTAGTTTGAGGACCAGTGATAATGGTTCTTATGACCAGCAACTTAGAGACTTCATTTTCCTAAATTATAAAACAACAAGAGTGATGAAAGAGACTCCTGGGGCTTCATACTCAAACATTTAAACATACTTTTAATCCAGCATATCCATATTTATCAGATGCCTGAAACTTCAGAATTGTCCTCGTGCATGGCTACATATGAGTTGGTATGAAAAGAATAAAAATTTAAACTAAGTTCTATGTGCTCTGTTTATTTATATTTAAAAACCTTATGTAAACGATTTAAAAATCTACACTAGCTCCACCTTGTAAGTTTTGTTTTGTAATACATGATAACAGACACAAACATGAATGAAACACAGCTTCTGTTATATTAAGGGACTCGGATCAACAAGGTTTAAATCAAATTAAACAAGCATTTAAATGTTAAATAATGATAGAGGAGAAACAAATCAAATTAATGTGAAATGCTAATATTTGATGACACGATTTTAGTTATCAGTGATTTCAGCTAGATAGAAAACAATGGGACAAATGACTATGTTGCTAGATGAATTAATGCTCTTGTGGTCTTTTAATAACATGCGTAATTTAATGTAAGAAGTACTGAGAATGGTCTGTTTTTCAAGGATTGATTTCTAGCAAAGCAGTAATTTCTCTTGATCACAGATGCATTCTTCTCTCACCTTAGAGTTTTAGACACTGGTCTGTTTTTCTGCTTAACTATTCTGAGGCAAATTTTTGCAGTAATGCTCACAAAAATTATGCTATTTTTCATATGAAGAAGGTTAAAATATTTTATAAAACTATGTTTTGAGAATTCTCTGAACATTTCTGAGATAGTTGTTGCCTCCATGTGGATTAGGATCTGACTGGGAAATGTATTTGGAAAATAAATGTTTATTTTTAAACAATAAGGCTTTTCCTATAGTAAATCATTGTTTAAAAATAAATGTTATTTTAACTAAACATTTATATATTTTCCCACTAATATTGTTGAAATTGAGTTTTCTCACTTGATCAACTTTTTTGATAAAATATACACATGTAAGGATAATTAGAAAATAAGCAATCTCTATTTTATTTTTTATTGAAATATCCATTAATGAGGTGCTTTCTTATAAATTATAAAATGTGATCAAGTTTGACATATATTTACATTCCCAATCCATTGCAATCATCAAAACAAATATCTATTGTGCTTAACTCTTCTTAAGCCCCTTGTAATTTATCCTTCCTTTTATATTCATCCCTAGGCATCTATCTATTTTTTATTTCATAATTTAGTTTGCATTTCTAAAAAGTTTTCTTATGTGGAATCATGTACTATAATTTTATCTTTAAATTTATAGTTTAATAATAAAAAAACTAGATATACATAGGATGCAAAATGTTCTTAAAAATTAATTGGGATTTGTAATTGAAAACATAATCATATGCATTTGTAGAATACAATATTTTGATATTTGTATACAATATGGAGTGATTAAATTAAGGTAATCAAAATAGCTGTCATCTTGCTTAACTGCAATTTTTGATAAAGAATTTGAAATTTACTACTTCTTATTTTAAAATGCACAGATTATTGACTGCACCCAACTGTAGAACAAATCTCAAAGCTTGTTCTTTCCTTCTGTCTGAAACTTTTTTCCCTTTCCTTGTAGCTTCTGTTAGCCATCATCTACTCTTTTCTTCTATGAGTTCTTTATTAGATTCCATATTTAAGTGAGATTGTGTGCAACTTGTCTTTCTTAACCTGTTTTGTTTCACTTAGCACAGTGAGCCAGATTCATGCAAGTTTTGCCAAGTGGCAGGGTTTCCCTCACTTAAAGATTGGCTATGTCTGATATGTTTATTGGTTGTGTGTATATATCCCATTTTATTGATCTGTTCATTCATTGATGAATCTTTAGGGTGATTCCATGTCTTAGATGTTGTGAATAGTGGTGTAATAAATATGATCATGCAGATAGTTCTATGAGATGCTGATTTTCTTGTCGAATGGGTGAAAATATCTTGTGTTCTGTCTGTGCTGCAATTTTTGGATAGCTGTCTGTCAGAGTAAGAGCAGTTAAAATCTTCTGCTATTACTGTGAACTTTGTTCTCTTTTTTTAATCCCTTGATCTTCCAATCATGTATTTTGAGGCTTAAGAACAATGTAAGCCTTTGAACTTTGTTTGCTGTGTTAGTTTCCTCCTGCTGCAGTAATCAATTCACAGCAATCTTAGTTGCTGTAAGTAACACAAATTTATTATCTTAACCATTATGAATGTCAGTGGTCTGAAATGAGCCTTGCTGGGGTAAAATCAAATGTCAGCTGTGCTCTGTTCCTCAGTGGAGGCTCTAGGAGGGATCCTCAATTCCCTGCCTTTTTCAGCTGTTAAAGGCTGTTCGCAGTCCTTGGGTCATTGTTCTCTGCTGTGCTCACAGGCAGCGATGGCAGGTCAAGTTTTTCTCATATCACATCTCCTCATTGCTTTCTTCTTCACAACTCCATCTCTGTCTCAGACTTTCCTGCCAATAATTGTATCCACTAGAATAATCTAGAGTAATCTTTCTATCAAAGTCTGTACCTTCCACAGCCATGAGTGT